GCCGAGTTCCAGGGGAAAGAACAAGCCGATCGCGCCGCCGGTCTCCAACTTCCTGCCCCGATTAAACACCACTTCCCATGTCAGACGCCCTCAATATAATTAACTCTGATTATTCTTCTCTCATTCGAAGCGAATGGGATCTCCTTGTCCATAACCACGAGAAATACTCGATCAAAGGAGATTATCCTGACCCGCTTGCGACTAGGGCACAAGAAGCTCACGCAACTCATATATTTGAACATATGGGTCGTCCGCTGTGCCACTGCAATCACACATGCTGTGATATTTCTCACTTTCTTCTCCGCTGTCCTCTGTATAATCAGCAACGGCAACCGCTAATCCGTGAGGTGGTCACTAATCGGTTACCTCTGACGCTGATAGTACTCATCGGTGATTCACATCTTGATTTTATTGAGCCCCTCTCCGCTTTCTCACACGACACAGGACCAGATATATTCATTTAAATACCTGATATGGGGTTTCCTGTGCAATTTGGCGGCAACGCGCAGATTTCCCCTCTTGCATAGGCGTCGGTGTCTCAGACACCACAAGGTCTACGGGTCCAGCCAAGCCTGCGCCGACACTGGGCCGGCTCCTTCGTTTCCTTTGGATGCGGCAGGTCCGTTGAGCCAAGGTCTCCCTCTGCTGCAATCAGGCTATCGCCGAGCCGAGTGGTAGTGGCAGTGACTGGGACCTGTCATCCCCTCGTCTCTATTGTTTTTCATCGAACATTCCGTCCATGTGTTTATACTATGTGTTGCTGAGTGCCGTGTTTGTGTGTTTTGCGTGTGTCATGAACTCGTCCCTCCTGCTTTGCACCGGATTTAAGAAGCCAGAAAACGCAATTCTTTGCTCGTGCAGCGGATAGCATCAGCCGGCATGAAGTTTATTTTTACCTGGCAAATTGCCAGTTAACTTGCCCTGAGTCCTCTTTAGGCCAAGGTAGAAAGAAAATATTTATATCAGCTTGGCAAACACCAACTTTGCATACTAAAAAATCGGCACAGCGCTATCGAAACCCGGGATCTCGTCTCGTCTCTCATTCGTCTTTCTCGGGATATTTTAGGACAAATGGCAGATCTTGTACCATCAAACCACGTCAATTGCATGGAACACGTGGTGCAAGCAGTCACGCAAGAGGAAGATCCTAACCAGACTGTTCGACAGCTGACCTCGAAATAAATCCCTGCTGCGGCTCGCCCACTCTAGCTGCTTGACGCCTCCGATGCTGTTATTTTTGCATGGTATGTTTAACTTAATCGTGTCTCATTACCAGTTTTTAACGACATCCGCTAATATGACTATATTGTTTCCACTAGTCATTTAGCTTAGCTCATGTAGGATGATCTGCTTATCTTACTATGCAGAAAGAATAGGATAGGTACACATCATGACATGTACTGAATAGATGTACATGTATTCAGTCTGTTCTTAGCTTTAAGAATAGATAGCGATGTCAAACTAATTGCACAACGCAGAAGACTTAACCGATCAACGGAATACCCAGCCAGCTTAACACTGTTCAACCCACATAAGGATGTCATCAATCGACCAGGAAGTCAGCAACGCTGCCTTAAAAGCACGGTCTCGATGCAGGTCTCTGGGGCCCGAACTATGATAGATTGTGCCATCAAAATGGCGCAGAGGCCTGCCAACATATACTTCAACCAGTACGTACTCAACGTAGTCGTCTTTAGCCGTCATGGTTTATTCGCAGCCACTGTAAATGTTGACCAATTCTAATCCTCCGATTTGCCGTGTGAAAAGAAGCGGAACTCGGCATGAGATGAGCTGATTCGTCAAACCCCGGACCCTTCGACAATATTTGGGGGTAATGCGCCAGCTCTGTCACCCGCCCAGGAGGGAGTTCGCAACGTGGACTTGGTATATCGCTATGTAAGCCACATACATGCTTGCTACATACCCTATATGTTTGGAACATTTGCCTCTGATAGGTGATTTCATTTCAAGTGATTCCTCAGTTTTTCATTTGAAGCCAACGTGTAAGTGCAGTTATGTATTCGCTTTTCATTTTGTTTACAGAAAGGAACATGCTATTTAGTTACAAACTGACCTATACTATTTGCACCGTTTTGACAGCAGATCGGTGCCCGTCCGTCAGGTCCGGCCGGCTGGCAACGATTATTGCGTCGACGAATGCTCTTAGATTAAAAACTTAATACCAGACTTCTGGCGATTTTAGCGGTCCGTTGGTGAACCTATCCTCCACTCAAAGGTACGGACTCCGCTCATCGCCCCGGCGCGTTGAATGAAAGCGTCCCACTCCCGTCTCCAATTCAGCCGTTTCTTGCCTGACGCGAGCTCCAGTGGCCAGCGAGCCCCCGACTGCAGCCAGTTACACCTCGCGATGGATGACCTCATCAGCTCCAATCGCGCCGGGCCGGCCGAGCGGCGCTAACAGACCTCATGGGATCACACAAAGCCGCGCGCCGTCACCCCTTCTGCCGGGTCGGCCCCTCCACACGCCTCCACTGAGTAAGTCACCAGCCGGGTGTCACTTACTAATGGTCGGCGCGGGAGGCGACCCGGGCGCATTGTCGGCCGAGGCGGCGTCATCTCGGCCCGGCGGGGCGCCCGGCCCTGGCCCGGCCCCCACAAAGGGCGCTGATTACCACATAAAACTAATCGGCCCTGGCTGTATTCAAATGCGGCCGGCGACGCGCCTTATAAACCGCGATTTGTCACCATCCGTTTGAGTCGGCGACCGCAGACGTGCGCGGCGAAGCAGGCCCGGACCGTGAACCAGGACGGGGCGGCGAGGCCGCGGAGATGGCGTCGCGACGGAGTCGAGTGGCCAGCAAATGACACAGCGGTACGACGTTAGCGATTTGAATCGGAGAGGAGGAACAGACAGCCTCTTGCTACCTCGAGACATTGAATTACTGGCGCTTACTTCGCATTCAGAAATGGGTTCTCACCTGCACGTCGCATCTGCCAGCATGCAGGTGGTGCATGCTGACTTACTGATGAAGCATGCAGCTGGTGCATGCTGGCTTACTGATGAAGCTATTTGCTGTCGGCCCGTTTTCCGTCAGTCCGACCGTTCTGACAATCCGCTTTCTCATCTGTGCTGCTACCGCTACAGTGCCGAAACTAGCTTTCCCAATGATAACGCTGCGCACTTGGCGGAAGCGCTTAGCGGAATCACAAGACGCCCGAAAGTGAGACCTCATTTTCCCGCTACACGACTGTGAACGTGCACGTATGTGGCCCTGTTAAGGCAAATCGTAGCCATACAACGTGACTCGTTCACTTCCAGTGATAGGCGACATACCTGTTCAAATGATCTTGCGGCGGTCGACCGCTGGGCTATCTGGGGGCCTGCATGGGGGGAATGCCACGTGGTGCTCGCCTGGAGGAATGTTCTCCGTCCAAGATCTCGTGGCACGGGATGACTCACCGGTCCTCCCGCCGTCCGAAACGGGGGCTGCCCGACGCCCCGGCGGGTTACGTCAGAGGCAGTGCAGCGGAAGCCCACGCCGGGCCTGCATGCCACGCTCACAGACCGGGAGGCCGGCCGGCTCCTGGAGCGGGCGCTGTCCGCAGCGATGGGCGGACTTGTGCTGGACCTTGTCCCAGTGGAATCGCTTCTGATTCCATCTCACGACGCATGGGGCTGATTCCGAGTGGGGCTACAAACAGTGCAACACAGATTTGGGTTAACTTTGATTCTGACTCCATGGGTGAGTTGCAAGGTGAGTTGCAAGTTGCAAGTTGCACCCAAAACATGGGTGAGTTGCAAGGTCGATTCCGATAGAGTCGGCTCCGCGGGCAACAGCTTAGCTCATAAGCTGTTCTGTGAGGTTTCTGGAAGCTTTCGTAGGACTTCTATCTGATGGCAAGCAGCTTTATATGATTCAACTGTGTCATTTGGCTCAGAGAGAAGCTGGTATATTGTTAAGATATGTTCCTGATTAAATTTCCATTTAAGTAGACACTTTAACGATTGGGTTTAAGTCAACTCAGACTCCGAGTCCCAATAAATTGAAAGGAGCCCACTCCGTCCCGACTCGTCGAGAAGGTGTCCGCTTCCAGAGCCGGATACACCCGGTGTTCGATCTTGAGTCTAACGTGAGGTACAGAACTGATTACAATACGCGGAGCATATCTCCAATAAAAAACCTGCGTCCGGTCCCCGGTCGCACGCGTCTGGACTCGAAGCAGGCACCAAAGCTGTTGCGCAAATACGAGGCTGCCGTGCACGTCCCGCTGATACGTGTCGCCGGAAGCGCCGAGTTCCGGCGGTCGGACCGGCTCGGGGAGCGACGCTGGGCGGGCGGCCGGCGCTGCATCCGCTCCGTCGCACCCGGGCCGGGTGGCGACACTGCTCGCGCCCCAGCCGTCCGCCCACCGTGACAAATGCATTGTATATCACGTCATAATTGCCGCCGGTAAACAGAGGCGGCGCGCCTGGCCGTTTGGCCTGGACGGCCGGTCCTCCGGCCTGGACGGCCCAGCCTTCTGCCCGCTCGCATTCTAAACATATTTAGCGAGATGGATCGCGATCGTAGCGCGACGCGCTGCGACCCCGGCTGTGATCTTGTCTGCGTCCGGTAGCGGCGCGCCCTGGCCAGCTCTGAAAATAAACGTCCGGAGCCGACGGACCGTCGCGATGTTGAACGCTGTTGACACGGGTCAGTGGCAGGGGCCGCCTTGTCGCCCGCGGCTTAGCACGGCAATCGAAGGCCGATCCAATGGCGGGAGCCTCAAAGTTTGTTTCCTGTGTGAAACGGAGAATCATGATGCTGCCCCCAAAGGTGACAGTGGTCATAACATGCTGATGCACTCGCGATAGGTTGCAGCGCCACGGTCTGCAGACCTGGAAACTTTCGAGGAGACATAGGTCGCTTGATCGAAGTTTCAGGTGTCACCGCCTGCACCAGGAAGTGGCGGCGCTGTGCTGCCCGCCCCACCCTCGAGCGCCGCGTCGCGCCTGATGGCCACCAGTAGAGCTCTAACCCACGTTCACCCTCCGGCAGGCGACAACGTCAACATGTTCGCCGCCCGGCCGCCCGTGAAGAAGAAGCGCAAGTCGCGCACGGCATTCACCAACCACCAGATCTTCGAGCTGGAAAAGCGGTTCCTGTACCAGAAGTACCTGTCACCGGCCGACCGAGACGAGATCGCCCAGTCGCTCGGCCTCTCCAACGCCCAGGTCATCACCTGGTTCCAGAACCGGCGGGCGAAGCTGAAACGCGACATGGAGGAGCTGAAGCGCGACATGGAGAACACGCGCGCCGGCCCGGCGCTGCAGCACCAGAAGCTGCTCATGACCAGCCTCGGCATCCCGATCAAGCTGGACGAGCCGCAGGACCTCAGCGGTAAGATGTGACGCTCCGAGGCTCACCGCGCCGCGCGGCGGTGAGACGGTCAGGTGTGAGAGCTGGATCGCGGCTCCGGCAGCAGTCAGTGGCGCGCAAGAGCGGCCGACTTGTTTTTGTTGAAAGCTTTAAATGAGTTCACGTCGCTGGCGCGTTTTTGTCGCATTGATTCGGTTCGCGCCGTGCGCCATGCGACTCCGCGCACGTGACGACCACATGCGATCTGACTATGTGTGTGCGTGTGTGCGTACGTCGGTCGCCGCGTGCGCCGCAGGTGTGCGTGCGGGTGCGTTGTCGTATGTGCGGCTTGAGTTCCTAGATTTTTTCATGCAAGTTTCTGTCCGGATCGAGCAGATTATGACCATTTTGAAGCCGGCCGCCGTGCGCCGCGCCCGTATCCCAGCGCAGACGCGGGCTCTGTCCGGCCCGTCTCGCAGCGCGACCTCCGTTTGGGAGTCCCCAAGAGCCAAAGACCCTTCACTATCCCCACTGTCTTCCCATGCCTTTGAGTGACGTTTCGATGTTCGATGTTGCTCTGCCAAGTAGAAGTTACTAGCCAATGTGATAATACGATAGTATACCGTGGCGGTCTTATGAGTTGCGTCGGTGCTCGTGGTTCATAAGTGTTTCGTCGTCAGGCTGGCCACTCTCCTGCTGTCGACCCCCGGAAGTGTGCACCTTCTTCTGACGCTCACCTGTGTTACAAATATGCTGTAAATAAATGTTATTTATGTGATGTAATACAGACTTTGGATGCGACGGCGATACCAAAGCCGTCCCTTATGCAAATCGATCAAGCCTTTGCAGAGAGAGACGTTTCTATAAGCGCTTTGACGTGGAACTGAACAACGGTAATTACCACGCACGGTCAATAATGGAGCTTCGCGTCTCAATAGGGATGTCTTATCGCCTTGATGCATGTTTCGTCTCCCCAATACGAGACTGAAATCCCCAGATACGCAGCAATGAAGCCAAAAAATTAAATGAATCCTTCAAATTTGGGCAAAATCTGGTCTCGGCTTCCCAATCGAATTTCGCGGAGCTTCTTTCCTGCCCGTGATGCCTGCAGACAGCGGTGCGGTCTGTCCGAGGGAGGAGCTCCCTCTGAGGCCTGGTCTGGTGTCGGCCGGGGTCGGTCTCGGCCGCCGGCCCTGACGCCCGCGGCGGTCCAGGCGGCGCCCGACGTCGTCGTCCGGGTCACGCACAGCACAATGGGGTGCTATTTCAATTAGTGGGACGTTACGTGACGGCGCCTGACGCTGATTCACGGTCGGCCGCATTCAACGGGCGGCTTTACTGCGTCACTTTATACAAATTACGACCTTAATGCGGTGCTTGAGTCTGGCAACCTCGTCGCGGTGGACTGAAGCATGCTTTTTACGGCGATGTAAGTCCTTTGGCCTGGAGGCAATCAATACGAAGGCGATTTAAGAAGCACGAAAGCCCGGCTTCGGGCGGCGGTGCTGGCAGGTCTCACTTCGTGTCTCATTTTTGCCGTACCTAGTTTATCTCCATCCATTATGTTAATTTATTGGACGATTAGGAATGCAACATGGCGCCGGTTGCAGCGGCGTGATGAAGAGGATGTTTAACAGGGCAACCCGCCGCGCGCCGTAATAAGTCCGATCCCCGTCGGCTCGACTTCAAAGGGTGCGCCGGCCCGGCGGGCGGCAACATCAAACGCCAGTGACAAGAGCTCCTCGGGTCTCGATACAAGCCGGCGGCGCCGCGCCGCCGATCAGACACTTAGCTTACGGGCACTATTGGCATGTGCAAGTGTAATATGACCGTGCAAATTGCCGTAACGACCCGGGCGTCGTGTTAAGGGGTGCGAAGTCGCACTAGCTCAGCTGACGACGCGGCCCGCCGGCGCCCCCGGCCCGGACCCTCGAGAATCTGAGACCAGCAGACGTGGCCCGCTGCCAGCACGGGTTCCACGGATGTAATCGTCCCACAACATTTAAGCGGTGTTATTGTTTCCGGACGTCGGCGAGGACAGGCTGGCGTTGTGCTGCCCTCCCCGGGCCCGGCCGGCCGCCGCGGCCGACGCACATCAAAGGCACCGCGACGTCGTCGATGTCGCGCCGAGACGGCCGGTCACGTGACTCGGACGGCGCCTGTGCCTGTCTCGGCCGGCGGCGGTCACGTGACTCCGGCGGGCAGCTGAGGTCAGCCACGCGCGGCGGGTCACGTGGTCGGGTCGACAAACATCTGGTCGCCGACAAATTGGCCGGTGAGCAGGCCGGCAGGGGAGGACAGGGGGGGGGGGGAGGGGCGGAGGGGAAGGGGAGGGTCAGGGGAGCGGTGACAACACCGATCCCCCGACTTGTGGCGGTCGAGCTATGCTACGACTGAGTGGAAACATAGCTCAGCTGATGACGGACCACGCATACCGCAGAACCAGCAGCAAAATGTTCGCGTGTCGAGTGAGGTCAACAGAGCGCGTGTGTTTTTTAACGCGGAAATTCCATGCACAAATTGCACAGCGGGCTCATGCAATGTTGTAACTTCGCTATAAATTGAGAATGCAACTGCATTTCCAGCATCTCATAAGCTTGTCATTGGGTCTATGACGCTGCATAGTAAAAATGAGCGCAAAACATGGCAACTGCGTTCTCAACATTTTTGAAAAATGTGATCCAAAAGTGTGAAAAAATGTGAAAAGCTTCACCTATGGACTCATGACTTACCTTGATTTGGGCCTCCCTCTGATGGAAGGGATCAGTTCATGATACAATATTTCAGGAGCAAAAATGGTCAAAGCCGTGCCAATTTGATAATACCTTTGGCAAAAATACAACGGCGTGCTCATTCTGGTAACTTTAATTTGTTCATGAGCAATGCCCAATGTGAGCTATGCCGGTGCATCACACAGGCTTTCTAAAGCTGACAAATGCACCCATCCGTTGACGGCAATAATATTCTTTGAAAGCATATGATTAACCTGCAATGGACGGTGTGCAGTTAATGCACTGTGAGTTGACCCATGTGTGATCACGGTCATGATCAATGCGTGATGCCATGACGGAATATTAATTACTCATTTACACAACATTCGGCTCATTACGTCCTATTGGCACTTACCTCATGCAAAAGAAGCGTCTGTAAAGGAAGCAGCGCTCAAATGGCAGACTCCCTTGCGGATTTGCTGGCAGCTGTACACCCATTATTTCTCTAATGGGTAGGGAGGGGAGGGGTTAGACCTTCAATTAGGACTCCTCAGCTCCGAGGATCATCTTTCTCAGTAGGCCGGACTTGTGTTTTGAGGGAAGGGGGGGGGGGGAACCACGCCGCTGGAAGTTTAAGCTTGAGCACCCCCACAATGCTGCGTTCCCTTTGACAACCAACGCTGGTGGTGCGGATGGGACGTGTAACGGAGCCTCGATATCGGTCCGGAACGGGCATCTTCCTGGCTTAAGTTGACTTCAGCCCCCCTACTTCCCCCACCCCGAGCGCGTCACTGTTTGCTGATAGATTAAGTTTACCAAAACTGGTTTGGGGGTTAAAGATGCAGCAAGCTGCAGCGTATCATCTACATTCATCAAGTGTCTTTTTCTGGAATTTTCTTTTTACACTTCTCTCATTTTCACTCATTCTCCGCAACGAATGTCACGATCACGCCAAATTCGACCCACATATACGTGGGTAGATAACCGGATATGAAAACCTCCTATAGGGCATGCGGGCAAATTTGACCCACGTCTGGGAAACAGCAAAAACAAAGCACGGCAGTCTGCAACACGGCTGGTTCCCATACTTTCCTGTTGGCCATTGTTTTCATCCGGATTCACGATGTCACGTTTTGCTTAGCCTCTCATGCCTTGCTGTTAGCATATTGCAAATCCGATAGCCAGGTAATTTCTTTGAGACTCTCATCCAAGATAGTGAGGGGCGACTCGGGGTCCAAAACACCCAATATTGGGACAGTTGAGCACGAAGTACTGGGCAGAACGTAGGAAGAAACAACATAGAATATGGCATGGAATAATGAAAAAAGTGCTGTCCACAGAGCACAGGGAGTGTGCGATGTTGCTGTGCTTTCCAGCCAAAGTTAAGTGAAATGCGTCCGATTGAGTTGGTGTTACCGGCTTTCTTGAAATCCTTCCAAATAGCCCAAAGTTTTGATCTTAATTTGCTACTCTGACGGGAGAAATGTTAGTGGAGTCCCTGCTCACCTCTTTGTTAGTAACAACATTCATTTGCTTGGCTTGTCCAAACATCTGTGTTTTGTTATGCTGTGAACACACTAATTTCAGTTAATTTGTTCGTTGCAGGACCGTGTCTGCAAAGCAGAAACACACCAGCGACACATCATGTGCTTTAGTGACGCTCAAATCGAACTTTCGCCAACGCACTTCTCCCTGAATGGCTCACGCCGCCCGCTGTGCCAATCCCACACGCTCATCTCTACTGACATTCATACTCATAAACGGCGGAGCTCATTCTGACCGCCACACTGCAGGTGTGCCAGGGGTCTGATTGTTGGTGTTCACAGGCATGGGCGGCGCCCCAGCTCTGAGTTGGAGAGGAGGTTTTCCAGCGGGCCTCCTGAAAAAAATGGGGCTACCTCAAAGGTGGCCTCATGGGCGGTGTTGCATTTAAAGGGGGAGGGAGGGCATTGGATGCAAGTGCTTCTTTAGCCAATTGTTATATGCATCAATGCCCATGTGAAGAAATGTAAGCAACGAAATATCCAGAATGGGGTCGTTCTGATTAATATATGGGTCTGCTTGATTTGATTGTGATTGTGACTTGATTATACGACAGCAGGGCCTCCCCTGCCAGAAAAGGGTCTCTAGCTGCATAGAGAGGCCTCTTGATCCAGAACAGGATCTCTCCGATTCACAAAGGGGCTTCAAATCTAGCAAAAGACGTCGTTATCCCCAAACCGGCCATTCTGAGACAGAAATGCCGCTATCTGATGCATCGGTTCTTAACTAGGCGGGTGCCTTGAGTGCCCGTGCATTCGCGGGAATGTGGCTTGCCCCCCAGCCCCCGCTGAATTCGTCCCTTGCAGCCCGAGTACTTAAAAAGCATGCTTCACATTTGAAGTTGTTAAAGCAAGCATCAGATATGATTAAACAAGCTCACTTATAACTATTGGCACACTTTTAAGCGTAAAAGACTGCTCTAGAGAGCACAATTCTCCATTTCGTAAATATGCTGCTCTATGCGTCATTGTTTAATTGCCTCATCGTACCTTGCAGAACATTGATTGCGAACCAATTGACGGTCGTTACATCCGGAAATCGTGCTCAGGAACGCTAGATATGAACGTCTCGACAACTATATTTTTCTTGATGTTGATCACCGCATGGCTTTTGGAATGACAGGACTTGAATGACGTCATTTTGACGCCATGAATGCCAAGGTGACTTTGAAACAATGCCTCCAATAAATTGTTCCCCATTTTCGCAGGCGTATAGCTAAGAAACCAGAGGGAGGGGCTTAGGTCTTAAACAGAGCAGATTGGCGAATAGCACTCAATAGTCTTCAAGATGGCTATTTTATTTCTAAGTCCCATATAACTGTGGACCACTCCCTTCAAGGTTTAGAGGTTTAAGGTTTTAAGGTTTAGAGGTCGCACGACGATTGGATAGCACCCCTCCTAGTGTTCAAATCCGCAACAATCGTAACGAAAAAACGTTGGAATCAGCACTTGTCCCATGCCACGTGTTTTACCAATCTCCAACCCTGTATCGTTTGTCGCAGCTGCGTTTCGATGGATTGCCAGATTTTTG